ACTAAAGAGGTACAAATTGTTCTCTAAATATGAAAAAGCTCAATGATATAATAAAGTGAAAATAAACAGGAAATATTGCTCCCCAACACTGAAGGTGACAGAACCTACCCAGCCTACACATTGCAAACCTAAGTGTGAAGGGCAGAGGCCCCTGGGATGCCAGTGTCAGTTGTCTGATTATTGGTCATGCCGTGTAAATGGGCTACAACAGTGTGCTTCCAGGTCTTGTATGCTTGATGCTGTTGCTATTACAGCAGGGTTGTGGCTTTCCCCTACTTTGAAGAGATTACTGGATATCGTGCCTCTGTGCACAAGCTACTCAATAATAAGATGCCCAGATAAAACCAGAAGTTATCCAAACAAGCAGATACAGAAATCACAACACAGGGACACAAGAAGGATGGAGAAGCAAATCACACAACCCTCCAAAATATCAGAAAAAAAGATCAAACTATGGGATACAATAGATGCTGAAATAGTTCAGCCCTGGTGAGCCGCCATGTTCTGTTGAAGGACCGCACATCCAAGAGTATCTGAAGACAGGTCGTGAAGAATCCTTTCTAAAGGACACAAAGTTGGGTGGTTAGGGAAAGGGAGTGGATCTGGGAAGAGTTGGGGGATGAATTGGATCAAAACACATTGTACAAAACTCTCAATGAACTAAAAAAAAAAATTAGAAACTACTGAAGAAAGTAAAATACCAGACAAAGGTTTCAAAAATTCACTGAAATATGATCAATGACCTGAAAGAGAATGCAAATGAGCAAAAGAATTTTATCCAGAGCCTGGAGAGGAAAGTCAGCAACATAGAAGAAAAGGTCACCCACATGGACGAGAAACATCAGCGGCGTGGATTAATAAGTTAACAGCATGGAAGCAAAATTCAGCAAGGAAATTAAGATTTGAAAAAAAAAATCTAGGAATGAAAAAGTCAATGCATGGGATGGAAACCCAGTGGAAGGTGTCCCTAATCAGCTAAACGACGCAGAAGAGAGAATGTCAAGGGTGGAGGCCGTGGCTAACAAAACATTGCATAGCAATATGGGGAAAAGCAATGAGCATAGCCACAGCATCTAAGGATGCTGAGACATGGAGAAGAGGCCGAGCCTAGGAATCTCTGGGGTAGAAAAAGGGCTGAGGCAGACACCAAATGCATAGAGAATCTGTTCAACGAAGTTACAGCAAAAAACCTCTCAAAATCTGGGTATTCAAACACAAGAAGCACTTAGAGCTCCAAGTGGAGACGAGCAGAAAAGCCCTTTCCCAGATGTGGTATAGTTCAAATGTCAACAATAGGAAGCAAAGACGCTATACTAAAAGCTGAGGGGGAAAACTCACAAAAGCAAGTATCAGAATAATGCCAAATTTCTTGTCAGCACCATAAAATACAGGATAACGCAGTAGGTGTATCTCACACTCTGAAAGTAAATACATGCCGAGCCAGCTTGCTATAGCCAATTAAACTGTCGTTTAAACTTATCAGTGGATAAATAAGGGCACTTCAAGACAGGCTTAAGCTGACATGCCTCGCACCGCGCCCCCATGTCTGTGCTCTGTGCGCTATTACCCAGTATGCTAGCTTCTGGCAAGGGGCTGGAGGTTAAAATACACAGACACACGCAGACAGAGAGACAGCGACACGGGTCATCCTTGAATTCCCCAAGAATGCCCTCTTTATTGTGTTCAGGGGCAGATTATATAGAGATAGCCACACCCCAGCCAAACCCACCAGAAACCACTCTCCTGGGTCACTTTCTTCTAAAAAAAAATGATTAAAACTTCCTTTTATCTCTAGATCTGTATCTATGCGTATTTGTGTAAGGGTTTGTGCATAAGTGTGCAGGAGCCTGCAGAGGCCAGAAGTGCCCAGGCTGGAGCTGCAGACAGTTGTGAACGGCCCAACGTGGGTGCTAGGAATCAAGCTTAGGTCCTGTGGGTGAGTAGGAAACACTCTTAACAATGAGTCATCCCTCCAGCCGCCGCCACCTGTCTCCTTCATTTTTATCATTGGTACATGGTAAAATAGTGAGAATAACTAATATATTGAGCAACGTCCCATGTAGCTTTTTTCAAACATCACTTCACATAATCCTTATAATTCTGTCGGTGAACTATGAGCCAATCCAGGCAAGAGAAGCTCAGAGAGATCGACTCACTAGCACGACTGAAGGTCTCGTGCTCAGAGCAGCTGTAGGCACTCAGATCAGGGGATTACAAATTGTTTACAAGAAATTCAGGATCTGGGGTCTCACTGCTCCCAACACTGATGGCTCAGGACTAGCTTTGTACTGTAGAAGATCCGTGGTAGCATGAATAATGAAAACACAGAGACAGATATTGTGTTCAACGTGAAGACCAGAAAAGCAAAGCAGCCGAGCCACGAGAGAACTCGTACCTCCATGAAATCTTCAGACTGAAAGAGAGCGAGTTGCTGTCTCATCCTGCCCTTATTTTCTTCTCTAGTGCTGGGGTTAAAGGTGTGCACCACCACCTCCCAGCCTCTACGGCTGACTAGTGTGGCTTCTGGGATTAAAGGTGTTTGCCGCCACTGCCTGGCCTGTATGGCTGACTAGTGTGGCTGTTTTGCATTCTGACCATCAGGCAGGCTTTATTTATTAAAATGCAAGTGAACCATCACTACAATATATACACAGAGGAGGAAGAAATGCAGTCTTCATATTTCTCTTTTATGGAACAGTTTGCAGGGCATTAATACTAGGTCTTCCTTAAGATTTTGGGAGATTCTTCAGTTTATTCATTATTATTTAATTGAAATTTTACATACCAATCCCAGTTCCCACTCCCTCTCAGTTTATTTTTTTTTAATATGAGTTTTTAGAGTTTTCCTTGATCGGGATAGGGAAACTGAGGGATTGCTAGGTAGGTAAAGCCCTGCTGCACAAGTGTGACAGCCTGAATATGGATATGCCTTACTCACACAAATGCAAGCCAAGCATGGTGACCTCCCTATAATACCAGTGCTGGGGAGGCAGAGACAAGGGATCCCTGTGGCAAGCAGATCCAGTTAGACTAGATGAATCCAAGAGCTCCAGGTTCAAGTGAGAGGCTTTGCCTCAAAATACAAAGTAAAGAGTAATTACACAAGACATACAACTTCAGCTTCTGGCCTTCACACCCATGTGCACACATATGCATATGCATGCAAACATGCATGCAAGCATGTATGCGTGAACATGTGTGCACGCGCGCACACACACCAAACCAAACAAAGAAACAAGACAGCTAACTCCCACAAAAACAGACACTGGAGAGAGACAGCCTCTTCAACAATTGGTGTAGGAAAAAGCTGTATGTTCACATATAGAAGAATAAAACTAGATCCATGTCTCCCACCTTGTACAAAAAGAAATTCCAAAATGCTGCAGAGACCCAGAGGTAAGGCCCAATACCTTGAGAATGCCAGAGAAAAATACTCCAAAACACAGGCATAGAAAAGGACTCCAGTAGTACAGGAAACGATCCAAAGAGCCAACGCATGGGGTTGCATGAAATCAAAACCTCCTGCCCAGAAAAGCAAGCAATAACCAAAGTGAAGAGACAGCCTACAGAATGGGAAAAAATATTCTCCAACTACACATCTGATGTGGAATTAATAGCTGCAATCTATAATGAGGCACAAGAATTAGACATTAAAGATCCCAAATCATTGGGCCAAATGAGCTAATGCATCAAGCAGACAGTTCTCAACAGAAGAAATATAGATTGCCAGTAAATGCTTGCAAAGTGTTCAACACCCTTCAGCATTAGGAAAATACAAACGTCAACTGTGCTAAGATTCTTTCCTGCTCTAGTCAGAAAAGGACCATAATCGAGAAACCAAATGACAACAAATGCCGGCATGGATGTGGAATGGGGGAATCTTTACACAGATTTGGTATGAATGCAAACGTGTGCAGTCAGTATGGAAATCAGAACGGAACCTGACCAAAGGGCTAAAAATGGAGCTGTTCAATGACCCAGTTACTCAACTCAGATTATATTCGAATTACATATTCAAGCTGGGACAAGCATAATGACACACATGCAAATGCCATAATTAAGCCCATTAACCCGTATAGTTAGTGTTGCTTATCAACTTGATAGGATATAGGACCACCTAGGAGACAACCTCTGGGCATGTCTGTGAGTGATTTTAGATCACTGAGGAGAGAGATGCATCCTAGAAGTGGGTGGTCCCATTCCAAGGGTTAAGATTCCTAATTAAATAAAGAGGAGACAAGCTGAGAATCAGCTTTCATATCTGTCTTCTTACTCTCTGTGGATGTAGTGTGACCAACTGCCTCACCCACCTGTTGCCATGACTTTCTCATGCTGAGAAACTGTACCTTCAATAAGTTGTTTTATTTACCAATAAAGACTTGGGAGTTAGATGTTGGGGTGAAAACCTGCTAGATCAGAGAAGCTAAGAAGCAAATATTTATTTATTTGCTTTATTATTGGCCAGAGACCCACTAAGAGAAGCAACTCTCCAACACATTGAACCAAAATGGCCTGCAAATCTCTAAGTCCCTCCCTACTCCTTTCTGCTCATCTCCCTACCCATCTTCCTGGGTCCTCCATACCCTCTATGGCTAATTCTTGTCAATTCATTGCTGGCTTCACCCCCTGAGCCAAGGTTAATTTTATTAACACAGTCTCAGAGTTTCACAGTGCAATCAAATATCCAACAACATTTCCCCCTTTTTGTCTAAATCAAAAGGAAAGGTTTTAAACTCTAACACAGTAAAACTATATGCAGTAGGATCCAATGAAGAATGACATTCACAGTGTCTGCTCCATTAGTATTTGGCAAATTCGGGGAAAGTACTCAATTATCTATCCTGTCTTGGTGAATTCAAAGTTCTATGACTAAACCACTTTCTAACTTTTACTACCAATCTAGAAATATCTTTTTAGATCTTAAAATATTTTCTTAGATAAACAACTTAAGTCTTTACGCTTTTCAACCTTATAAACTTTACATCTCTTTTGTTTCACAGTGCCATCAACTCCCGCAACAGCCAGCCTTTAAAGAAGATGTGGTATATCTATACAAAGGAGTATTACTCAGTGGAAAAAAAAAAACAGTGACCTCATGAAATCCACAGGCAAGTGGATGGAACTAGAAAAAAAATCATCCATCCTGAGTGAGGTATCCCAGACCCACAAAGACAAAGATGGTGTGTACTCACTCATAAGTGGATATTACTTGTAAAGTAAAGGATTACAAAACTACAATCCAGAGCCCCAGAGAAGCTAGGTAACAAGGAGGACCCAAAGAGAGGCGCATGGATTTTCCTAGGAATGGGAAATAGAAGAGGTGTCCTGGGTAAACTAAGGGCTGGGTGGTGGAGGTGTGGTAACATGAAGGATTGGTTGGGCAGTTTGGAGGTGGGACAGACGGGAAGAATAGTGAAAGAGATATCTTGATGGGGGCTGGGAGAAACCTGGTGTCAGGGAAACTCCCCGGAATCCACAAGGAAGACTCCAGCTAAGACTCCTAGCAATAGTGGAGAGGGTGCCTGAACTGTCCTCCTCCTGTAATCAGCTAGGTGACGATCCTAATGGTCATCAGGGAGCATTCATCCAATTACTGATAGAAGCAAATGCAAAAATTTCTAGCCAAACACTGGGTCAAGGTCTGGGAGTCCTGTTGAAGAGGGAGAGGAAGGATTGTATGAACCAGGAAATTCAAGATCATGGCAGAGGAACCCACAGATACAGCAGGCCTGAGTTCATGGGAGCTCACCAAGTCTGGACCAATAGTTAGGGAGCCTGCATGAGACTGACCTAAGCCCTCTGCATGTGTGTAACAGTAGTGTAGCTTGGCCTGTTTGTGGGGCTCCTAGCAGTGAGATCAGGATCTGTCCCTGGTGCTTGAACCCATTCCCTATGCTGGGTTACCTTGCCCAACCTTGATGCAGGGGGAGGATGCTGGTCCTGCCTCAACTTGATGTGTCGTGCTTTGTTGACTCCCATAGGAGGCCTGCCCCTTTCTGAATGGAGATGGAAGAGGAGAGGGTGAGCAGGGGGTGGTAGTGGCAGAAAGGAGGTGGTGGAGGAGAGGAAACTGTGGTTGGTATGCGAAATAAACAAAAAAAATTAAAAACAAATAAATAAATGTTTAAAAATGTTGAGCAAAGAAAAAGAATGAGATATCAATATGTACGACTGCATGGTTGAGACATGAAAACACGATACTAAGAAGCAAGCCAGTCAAAAAGGTACCTGGAGGACATAAATCCACCATCTAAAGTAGTCAGGAGAGGTAAGTCTGCAGAGATGAAGTGTTTTCTGTCGAGTAAATTGGGCCGGCTTGTCCAGGTAGAGAAAGATACAGCGGTTCATTTTAAGATGATGAAAATCTCGTAAATTGATTGTGGCAATGATTACACAATTCTAAATACATCAAAAGTATTTATGTTACTGAGTGTGTACATTATATTTTTGCTTACTTTTTACGTTCTTATTTTTAGAGCATTTATAGTTCGATAAGGCTTAGAAAAAAAAACTAATCACAGATTAGACCTGCTTGACGGTTTCTTTACAGTGCCCTGGACCCCGAAACACACACCTGGATGTGGGACAGAGAACTCGCTGTGGCGAAAAGCTAGGGGCTGCCTGAAGGACAGGGGTGGACTTCGGCTTTGTGTGTTTTCAAGTAGTGATGGTGTCAACTAATCCGGAGTGTCCAGTGTGGGAGCCTTCAGCCACGTGTGATCTCTGAGCTCCTCAAACGTGGGTGACCCAACTGAGATGAATACGTACGCACCAGACTTTGGAGAGTTGGCATTAACACACACACACACACACACACACACACACACACACACCCTAATTTTAATAATATTTCAGACATACTTTTAAAATTTCGGATATAATTTTAAAAATTGCAATGCTTTCAATACTTTTACAAATTTAAAAGGCCATACTCTCTGAGAAGAGAAGGCTTCCCCAGGAGGGCTGGCTGTGCTGACGCGTGGGTATCCCCTGGATAGTAGGGAGACATTAGGTGAGGAGGCAGCTCAAAGAGGATGGGGCGTGAGCTTGGAGGGAAGAGGGACATGAGGATGATAACGTGCTTTGCCTTGAGCTCCACTTATTTTCCTTTTTGGCTGTTTTCTTTTTAAACAGAGTATCTTTATACTTTGACAATTTTGTATTATGTGTACAATATATGTTAGTCATATCTACTTGAACTCTCCATCCCCAACACGTTCTTTCAGGCGCCCTCCCTCCCTCCCTCCCTCTCCTCTCCCACCATACTTTAGTGCTGTCTGTTGGAATGTTGACTGATGTTGGCTTGGTTTCGTGATCTCATGTGAGCAGACATACCTGGGGTGAGTTTGGGAGCAGGGTCACGGGATGTCCTGAAGGCCGCATTCCACAGCTCTCTTCCCCATCCCTCAGCTCTCGCCTAATGCTTTGTCTTCCATGATGTTCCCTGAGCCTTGGGTGAAGGTTGCTGTAGATGCCCTTTTTAGGACGAGCACTCAATAGTCACCTATTCTCAGCACTTTGAGGAGTGAGGAGTCTCCATTAAGCCTGAGCACTGCAGAGAGAGGCTCCTCTGGCTAAGGTGGAAGGCAGTGCTAATCTATGTTTATAAACATTAGTATTTAGAAGCCAGCTTGACAAAGTGTTCATTTAGCAAGACAACAGCTGTATAAGTTCCTCCCTAGAGCCCATAACCTCCTGACTCACAGTTATTTGGCCAGGTTTACGGTACCAGGAAGGACTTCCTTCCTGTCAATTAGATCTGACTTAAGAATGGTTGGTTACCTCATAACCTTTGGGCTCCTATTGCACCAGTGGGCACATCCTTAGGCATTTCTTTAGATCTTGGATCTTGAAGCCTGTGCCTTTAGGAGCTGTGATAACTATTCTTGGTTTTAAATTGATTCCATTTCAAATGAACTAAAAACTCAAGCTGCTGTGAGGGGTTTTTAGTTAACTGGATCTTTTGAGGTAAGAAGACCCACCTTAAATCCTTAAATCTGAGCCACACCTTCTTATGATAGCCTAGTTAAAGGATAGGAAAGAAGGAAGATTTTGCTCTTTGCCTGCCTTCCCTCGCTCTCACTGGCAAGCGTTATGTAATAATCTTTTTGTATACTGTGAAGAAATGCCACTTGGATTGATTTAATCAAAAAGCTAAATGGCCAATAGCTAGGCAAGGTTTTGGGGGCAAAGAGGACTCTGGGAAGAATAGGGGCGGAGTCAAGAGGAGACACCAGGAGATGCAGCGCAAGCAGCATGGGCTTTACCAAGTAAAGGTAACCAAGGTACGTAAAAGAATGTAGATGAAAAGATATAAGTTAATTTAAGTTATAAGAACTGGTTACATACAAGCCTAAGCTATTGGCTGAGCTTTCATAATTAATAAGAAGAGTGGTTATTTGGGAGCTGGCTGGCAGAACAGGAAAAGTCTGACTACAGGCAAGTTCATTCCTTCACTGTTCTTAGAGCCTACTTCTTTGAGATCCTGATGTGTGCTGAAGACCAGCTAAGACATCCAGCCTCGTGGGCTGAGCAACCACTGGATTCTTAGACTTTCCGTTTTAGATAGCCATTGCTAAACTAGCTGGACCACAGCCTGTAAGCCACTCCAACAAATCTCCTGTATATAAATACAGACTCATTTTGTTGTTTCTGTTCCCCTAGAGGACCCTGACTAATGCAGGAGCCAAGAGCTGAGCTCTCAAAGACATCTCTGTCTCCGGTTACGATTTTAAAGGAAGAAGTGGTGGGGGCAGGGGCTTGCTTTACTTCTTTCTCAGTTTTATAAACATGTTTAACCACATATTTCCCTGAGCAGCAGAAATAGATCATTTGGGAACGGTGGCAGCTGTTCTTGCTTGTCAACTTGACTCCTGGAATTAAACCTTCTCCGTTAAACAGATTCTGAGATGGGGAACATAAGAGGGGTCAAAAGGAAATCCCAGAGTTCTCGGTTTAGGGAAGTAGACCTCATTGTGTCCAGTAGAAAAGCTGATTCCGGTAGAGACGTGTGGAGGGGCAGAAGGAAGGGGTTTTGCTGTCTTGGCATTCACACAGTGACTGGACAAGCTTGGAGGCTTCTGTCATCCTTTAGCTTTGATTGCCCATTTGTTGTGGTCATTTGATACGAATTTGAGTTTGCTAACCGAAATCAAGTCAGTGGAAGTACCAAGGGTCTTATTTGAGAAAACAGGGCCTTCCTTGGCTTTGGTGGCAGTTTTTTTTTTTTTTCCCACACAGAACTTTAAAAGCTGAAGATGAAGTTTTGAAGAAAGTTAGAAAATATTAGTGGGAAAGCCTTGTCTCAAACTGCATCTGAAAGCCAGTGATCGAAAGGCTGGCATTTGTCCGAGGAACCGTTCACAAATTACCTTTCCTCTATGAGAAGAAAGAAAAAATCTCTTGCAAAACTTTGATCTTGCCTCCTGACTTCTACCGCCCAGTCACTAGACAGTGAGCTGATCAAAAGGCCAGAGGAAGCCGGGCAGTGGTGGCACGTGTCTTTAATTGCAGCAGAGGCAGGCCAGTCTTCGTGAGTTCGAGGCCAGCCTGATCTACAGAATGAGTCCCAGGACATCCAGAGCTACACAGAGAAACCCTGTCTCAAGAAACAAAGAAACAGAAAGACCAGAGGTAAAGCAAAGCGGATGAGGCGCACCAGAATCATGGCCGCATTGCCACAACCACCACGATAAGCAGGTTGAATTGAAGCCAACAACGGTCTATGAATTATTAACACCGCTCCTGCGCTCCACCAGTGAGGATGAAATGAGCCTACTTACTGCAGTGAAAGATAAAGATGGAACCATGGTGAGATTACTCTATTTGACTGCAAGTCCAGTCATCAACAGTAGGTGGCAGTAATGAGTCCCTTTTTGCAATGCTGAAAGCAGTTGCCAAAAGGAAAAAAAAAAAAAATGCTTGAGGAAGTGCTTGAATTTCTTATTGCTATGCCAGAGAGGCAAGTTGTCTTGGTAAGTAAAACAAATGACTCTGTTTAGAAATAAGGACAATGCTTGTTGCCACGTGGAAATAGAAAATGTCTCTATGGTCAAGCTGTGCATGTTTCTCTAAGTAGGCTTGCTTCTGGTAATTACTTACTGTGAACTGTGTGGCTTGAAACTAGTGTTTGTCCAACCTAAAGCAGAGAAAACCTTCAACCTTCATCTTGTGTGATTTGTTTTTAACAGCTCGTGTGTGGGTGTGGGTGTGGG